TAGGCATCACATTATATTACAATGTATTCATATAGATGATGGAAACAATATACTAGTATGACAATAGAATTATTTTGCTTAATTTGTTGATACATACATATAAAATAATGGCAATCTGATTGAGGCCTGCATTCAGATCGTGAAAGCAATGCCACAGAGGATTTGAACATAATACCTGGAATTGAGAACTGACTGTACTGTACTGTAGATGGCTAAAAAAAGCTGACTTGATTCCATTTTGTAAAAAATAAATAAAGATAATACTACATTAAATCAGTTGTAATAATGATAACAACCAGCCATGAAATAAGCAATCAAAAAGCATAACAATTCTCCAGAGATCATTGTAGTTAGTGATTATTGGGATTAAATCAATTAAAGACTTTGTATGGGAAACTTATATTTTACGTAAATTTCATAAATAGTTTAATGTTAACATTATTAAGGTGGTTGCATTTTTTTTTCATTGGGATATTACTTATTATCTAGAAGGGATTTTCCTAGCAAGTTGGTTATGCGGCTTATACAAAGTTGGAAACTGTTTTGTAAGTAGTTAATGCATTTTAAATACATTTTTCTTCTTTCCTTTAAAATGACATTAAAGTGCCCCCTGACGGGGCGTGGTTTGCGCATGGCGGCGAGTAGACGTGCCTAGCCTGAGCTCCGTCTCTCACCCTGAGCAATCTTGCAGTTACCCATCCTCTCGAAGTGCTCCTCGATCGGCCATCTCATCCCTAAAGCATGGGGAGGAAACAGAAGTACCGCCGATCCGCTGCGACCCAGAAAACCGACACCATCACCCGCCTCTGGACGCCGGAAGCCTTCTCCCCGGCCGCCCAGGCGAGACGTGCGCCTGAAGGCCCAGGGGACATCTCGGAGATGCCACCCTCCACCTCACACCCGTCGGACGGATCCCACTCCTCCGCTCTATCTGCGGCATCCACGGATTCCGACCGGGGCTCTGGGATGTCAGTGGCCACGCTGGCTAAAACTCTCCCCAGCAAATCGGACCTGACAGGGATGTTTTCGCGCCTAGAGCGCTCCCTCAAGTCTGAGATCTCCTCTGTGAAGGCCGAAGTGTCCCATGCCATGTGGCGAGTGGAGGAGGTGGGGAGCCGATTGGACGCACAGGCCCAGGCCATCAAGGAACTTCAGACACACGGTGAGCAAACCCATACTGCTATATGATCAGCGTTTTACAAGCTGGAGGACCAGGAGAACAGAAGTCGGCGTAACAATCTACGGCTCAGGGGCCTCCCAGAGGCCACCCAAGATGGGGACCTCGCTGATACGCTGCGTGGCATTTTTAACACCATACTGGGGAGAGCTCCCACCTCCCCTTTGCTGTTCGACCGCGCTCACAGGCCCCTGACACCGCGGCTCCGGAGTGGGAGAGGCCCCTCGGGATGTCATAGTCCGCCTCCATTACTTCTCAGATAAGGCCCTGATTATGGACCGCCTTAGAGGTAACGCCAAAGTTGACTTTGATGGGGCTAAACTCCGCATTTTCCCAGACCTCGCATCTGAAACCCTGTCCAGGAGACGAGCAATAAAACCGCTCCTACAGCTGCTAAGGGACAATGACATCACATACCGCTGGGGCTTTCCAGCTTGCCTGATCGGATCAAAGGGGGGACGCTCAGCGGTCCTTCGTTTCCCTGAAGACTTACAGAAATTCTGTGAGCGGCTAGAAATTGGTCCCCCGGAGCTGCCGGGTTGGTCAGACACACGCCAGGGGTGCCCTCTGTCACCGTTGCTGTTCATTCTCTCTCTAGAGCCCTTTCTAGCCACGATCAGGAAACACCCAGACATACAGGGTATCGCTCACTCTGCTAATGAATACAAGCTTGCGGCATACGCCGATGACATTCTCTTCTATGTGCGCAACCCTAGAACATCGCTTCCTAATATCTTGTCAGAACTACGTATATACGGTGAACTGTCTAACTTCAAAATCAACCTGACAAAATCAGAGATTATGGGCATCACGGTGACAGAGGCGGACAAACAGAGCCTAGCGCCCCACTTCCCATTCATATGGCAAAAACATGGCTTACGCTCCCTTGGCATACTCCTTACCCCGAAGACATCTACCCTTTACAATAGTAACTACATCCCCTTACTGAACACCATAAAACTAGACCTTGCGTCCTACCCCATTCGTTCCCTGTCATGGATAGGCAGAATGAATGCTGTAAAAATGATGGTCCTCCCCAAAATCCTTTTCTACTTCCAAATGCTTCCCTGTCACCCTCCCCGCAGCTTATTTCTCCACATTGAAAGCCGTAATATCTAAATTCGTATGGCGTCATAAAAAACCCAGAATATCCCACCAGGTACTCAGCCGACACAAGACCAAAGGCGGACTGGGCCTTCCTGACCTCAAATCCTACCACAAGGCCGCCCAATTAGTTAGGTTGGCTGACTGGACCTACAATGCCTCGCATAAAGGTTGGGTTGCCTTGGAAAACGACTTGTGCGCAACCACCCTAGCTGAATGTATATGGGTACCTCCATCAAAGCGTTCCCTCTCCCCCACAACCTCACCACTCACTGTAGCAACCTTGCTCACATGGGACAGGCTGCACAAAGTCCATGGGTGGCACTACATCTCGCTCTTGCTACCCCTAACAGGATCAGACTATTTCCCACCGGGGAAATCTGACCGGACTTTCTTGCTATGGACAGACACGACGTGTCTTCGTCTAAAGGATGTAATCCAGGGAACCAACCTCCTATCCATCCAATCCTTGCGGGCACGCTGGGGGACCTTCACTATGGACTTTTGGAAACCGTCAGCTTCAACATTTTATTGCTTCCTTGCCAGGCCCCCTACGAGACACTCTGAACTTCTTACCCTTTGAACAACTTTTGGGGTCATCTGAACCACCGAGTCATACTCTGTCAACCATATATAAGATAATCGGGGACCTGAATTACCCCTCGCCCCCAGCATACATCGAAAAATGGGAAAGGGATCTCCAGAGGCCCCTTAGTACCTCACAACGCACTAAACTGTTACGTGTATGTCTGTCAGCCTCGCCAGATAGTTATATGCAAGAAGTAAATTACAAACTTTTAGCCAGATGGTACATGGTGCCTCTTACAGCGCATGCAATATGCCCGTCCACCCTTCCGCTTTGTTGGCGCTCCTGTGGCTCGATGGGCAGTTTCGCTCACATATGGTGGGAGTGCCCACAGGTGCGGAAATACTGGACAGAGATTACTGACCTTATCACAGACATCACCGGTATACCTACTATCCTGGACCCTTGGCAATGCCTCTTCCACCTTACCCCAATGTCCACAAAATCATACAAGAAATTGTTAGCTCCATACCTGCTGAATGCAGCCAAGGCGCTCATACCCAAATACTGGCGATCCCCACAGATGCCCACCATTGCAGAATGGTTAACCCGAGTGGATAGACTAAGGTTGATGGAGGAACTCCATCACTCTAGCACAGATACTTATACCACCTTCTATGCTACCTGGGCATGCTGGCTACACTTCAAAACAACTGACAGATATGCCTCTCTGCTGGTAACATCTCCAACGGCACCTAATGTACCATCTGACTAACTACACATGCTCACCTGGTAACACCCAGCGTGAGATGTATGCTCTTATAGCGGATCCTGGCAAAACCACACCCGAACCACCCCTCCTCACCCGCCCCCCTTCCTCCCTTGTCACTGTTCGTACCCCCATGTGCGTCTGGTGAAGGCTTATGGTTATTTCTTTATATTTACAAGGAGTGACACATGTCGTTTATTATAAGTCTTGAGCTTACACCGCTTGTCTCGATGTAAACCACCATTGCCTTTGTATTGTTTATGTTTATGCTTTGGAAAACTCACAATAAACTTTTAATAAGTAAAAAAAAAAGGAAGAGCAGTAAAGAGAAGGGAAACAACCATGGATTACAGTAAGGCACACATTACAGTATTGTTTTATGTTAAAAAATCTGAGGGTTTGTCACTTTAAGTTATATGCTCTTCTCAATTCAGGGGGCTCCTGCTTGCTTCAGAGGGCTATTAACAGAGCAGAAGATAAGACATTATAGATTAAACAGACTATAAAGAAACCTAAAATATCTAGGTTCTTTTTATCATAAAGGCTGTGCAAGTCACATACAGGGCTGTATAAACAAAGTGATTAAACTCCTAAATATCAGAGAATTGAGCAGTGAGTCTGCAAGGGCATGATCTGTACCCCAAAACTACTTAATTAAGCTAAAGTTCTTTTGGTGCGTATAGTATCCCTTTAATGCTGACTACAGAAACTTAAACTTTGCCGTCTTAAGTTTTTACAGTTTAAAATAGTGAAATGTTTTGTTGTCATTCTCATTCATAAAAGATCCCTCAAAAACATTCAGGTCTATTCAGTAAAAGGTAAATTGCAGAATTTCAAAATCTAGACCAATAAAGACGATTTGGAAAGTGAGCTGAATGGGAGAATTTTTCTGGTTTGGCTATTTTGACCTAGATTATTCAATTCTCCTACCAGTTCTCCTAGCTAAATTGCAGGAGAATTAGTAGCAGAATTGAAGAATCTAGGTGAAAATAGCCGAAATAGAAAATTTCTCCCATTCAGCTCACTTAACAAATTGTATATATTGATCTAGATTTTGCCAATAGATTGTTTCTGAATACTCAAGCGTGTGTGAATAAGCTCGTTTTGTTCGATGCTGCACTTATTGTATGTTAAAACTTTAAGTTCTGTTTTTTGTTAAATTTAATGTTCTATTTTGTGTACCACTGTTGAATGAGCTGGTGCTCTTTAAACAATATTTAATAATATTTATGATGCTATTATAAATGCACCTTGACAATCCTATTTTGAAAATAAAGTTGTTCAAAAAAGAAAAAATCTCATTTTAATTTTTAAGTAGGCAGGAAGTAGGCGGCTGTGTAAAATAGGTACATTTGAGATTTGAGATGGAAGGGACAGCACTGGCCTTCCAGAACTACAAGGAGTGCAATAGAAAATGTAAAAGTTCAATCCGGGCAGCTAAAACAAAATACGCAAAATTTATTGCAAAAGTCAGCAATCCCCCCACCCAGAAAAAAAAAAAATATTCAAACACAAACAATACAAAAGGTAAGAAAGGAGCAGGTGGGTCCCATAAAATATGAGAATGGGAGGTTGATCACAAATGACAGGGTGAAGTATTGAATGCATTCTTCTCCACAGTATTTACTAAGCAAAGCGACTGGTTTATTGAACGCAAAAAGAATTGAACTGAGAGGAAAATACCACCACTGTGCTTGACGGAAGCTAGGATTTGCCAAGGACTACATAGTATTTGAGGTTGAAAAGAGACATGGGTCCATCAAGTCCAACCTATAGCGTGTATGCATGTGAATCTACATGTGTACGAGTGTGGATGAGTCCATGTGTCATCTTCTTCTTAAGTGTACCTGTACCCTGTATTTTGCAGTCTCTGAGGAAATCAACACTCTTAGCTGAAATCACTGCTCGTGGCAGCGAGTTCCATACCCTGACCGCTCTTACCGCGAAGAAGCCCCTACGCCCCTTGTGCTTAAATTGTTTCTCCACTAGTTTTAGGTGGTGGCCTCTAGTCTTTGTTATGGAGGTTACCGTAAAGAGTTTATTGCTGATGTTGCTATTTCCATTGAACATCTTGTACAAGAAAATCATATCCCCCTTAATCTCCTTACTTCCAGCATGAACATGTTTAAATTTAGTAACCTTGTCTCATAGCTTTGGTCCTCCATCCCCTTAGTTTAGTTGCCCTCCTCTGGACTCCCTCCAGTTCAAGGACATCCTTTCTGTGGATTGGTGACCAAAACTGGACCGCATACTCCAGATGAGGCCGAACCAATGATCTATAAAGTGGCAAAATTATAGCCTTGTCTCTGCAGTAAATTCCCTTTTTAATACAAGAAAGTACTCTGCTCGCTTTGTTTACCGTGGCCTGGCATTGCAAGCTATTGTTCAATCTGTGGTCTACAATGACCCCCAAATCTTTTTCCATTTGTGACTTCTCTAGTGGAGTTCCCATTAATGTGTATCCTGCTTGCCTATTTTAACCCCAAAGTGAATAACTTTACATTTATCAACATTGAACCTCATCTGCCATATAGTTGAAGCCTTGCCTTGCCCTTCTCTCTTCCTAGTTGATCACTCCTCCTTTTTGTTATAATGTCTAAGTCCATGTCTATTACCCTCCCGATTTTGGTGTCATCAGCAAAGACGGAAACATGACTATTCACTCCCTCCCCAATATAGTTAATAAACAGGTTGAATAGCATGGGGCCTAGCACAGAACCCTGAGGCACGCCACTCATGTCCTTAGAACAATCTGAAAATGAGCCATTTATCGATACTCTCTGGACCCGTTCCTGTAGCCAGTTCTCTATCCATAAGCCCTCACGGACAGGACCCTCCTTACCATCTTGTCTTGAATTGTATTGTGATTGTAATGTCTTCCTTATATTGTAAAGCGCTGTGCAAACTATTAGCGCTATATAAACCCTGTATAATAATAATAATAATAATATACACACCATTTCATCTATGCCCATAGACAACAACTTGTGTAGTAAACGTTTATGTGGTACCGTATCAAATGCTTTACAAAAATTCAGATACACTACATCCACCGGCCTCCCTCCATCCAGATCTCTACTCACCTCTTCGTAGAATGTTAGTAGGTTGGACTGGCAGGAATGGTCTTTCCTAAATCCATGCTGATCATCATTTACTATGCCATTATCCTGAACAAACTCTATTAGTCCTTAATCATTCCCTCTAACAATTTGCATACTGTGGATGTAAGACTGACTGGTCTGTAGTTCCCAGGTTGGCATCTTGACCCCTTTTTGAATATCGGTACTACCGTAGCCCTCCGCCAGTCACTTGGTACTCCAGCAGTCATTATGGAGTCCTTAAAAATGAGGAATAATGGTCTCGCTATAACCTGGCTGAGTTCCTTAAGTACCTTGGGGTGCAGGTTATCTGGTCCTAATGCTTTATGTGCATTAAGTTTCTCAAGTCTATGTTGAACCCCGGCTTCTGTCAACCACTGTGGTGTATTTTGCTATGGGCTGTGTGGATTCTTATCTATATTAAACTCGTCTTTTTCCTGAGTGTATACTAAGGAGAAAAAAGTATTCAACACCTCGGCCCTCTCCCTGTTGTTTGTGATTAGCTTCCCGTTTCCATTCTTTATAGGGTCTATCTGCTCCTTTCTTACCTTTTTTACTGTTTATGTATTGGTAGAATTTTTTTGGGTTCCTCTTACTGACTGTGGCAATTTGCTTTTCGTACTCTATTTTAGCTGCCCAAATTACATGTTTACATCTTTTATTACATTCTTTGTATTTTTGGAAAGCCAATGCCATCCCCTCCGTCTTATATTTTATAAATGCCCCTCTCTTGTCCTTGATGTGTTGCTTTACAATTTTATCTAGCCATGCAGGCTTAGTTTTTGATCTTTTAATTTTATTACCCAATGGTATACACTTGGTAATAGCATTATATAATGTGTTCTTGAAACACTCCCACTTCTGGTCAGTGTTCAGTGTGTGGAATAAATTGCCCCATTCAATGTCGCATACTATCTGGCGCAGCTTATCGAAGTTTGCCTTTCTGAAATGTAGAGTTCTTGTCCGAACAGACCACTTTTCTTTCCTGTACCCAACATTGAAAGTAATCACATTGTGATCACAATTACCCAGTGTCTCTCCAATTGCAATATCTTCAACTAACGCCGCATTATTGGAAATGATTAAATCTAAGATGGCATTTTCCTTAGTTGGACTAGAAAAACTTAATGCAATTAAATCCCCAGGACCAGATAACTTGCATCCACGGGTACTAATTTTTAAGGACTCCATACTGACTGGGAATGTACCAGCTAGTTGGCATAAAGCAACTGTTGTACCAATATTTTAAAAAGGTTTAAGATGCGTACCTGGGAATTATAGACCAGTCAGCTCAACATCCATAGTATGCAAGTTATTTTAAGGTATTTAAGGTGCTTATGGGCATATCATAAGTGACAACCAACATAGCTTTAGGATAGACCATTCATGTCAAACCAGCGTGCTAGGAGGAGGTGAGTGGCAACCTAGATGGAGGAAAGCCAGTGGATGTAGTGTACCTTGATTTTGCAAAAGAATTTAATACGGTATCTCATAAATGTTTTATTTATAAGCTTCACTCTCTGGGCATTGATGAAATGGTGTGTACTGGCTAGAGAACTGGCTAAGTGAACGTGTCCAGAGAGTATCAATTAATGGCTAATTTTCCAAATGGTCCTTGGTTGGCAGTGGTGTGCTCCAGGGTTCTGTCCTGGGGCCATTGCTGTTTATCAACAATAATGGGACTAATTCTATTAGCAATATTTCAGTTTTTGCTGATGATACTAAAATGTGTAGGGTAATAAACTCCCATAAATTTGGGAAGAGGGCATGTACATGTCAAATGAGATTTAATATCGAGAAGTATAAGGTTATTCATTTCGGAATTAAAAATATACATGCAAGCGACTCACTAATGGATGTTCCACTGGGGGAATCAGAGGTAGAAAAAGATTTGGGAGTCCTATTGGACAATTGCCTTAGTAAAAGCATACAATGCCAGGCTGCAGCAAATAAGGAGAGCAGGGTTCTATCATGCATAAAAAAGGGAATGTACTGTAAAGACCAATCCATTATTCTGCCCCTGTACAAATGTACAAAACACTTGTTTGGCCTCATCTTGAGTATGCGGTTCAGTTTTGGTCTCCGATCCACAGAAAGGATATCCTTGAGCTGGAGAGAGTCCAGAGAAAAAGCTAATAGAGGACCTAAATTATCAGGAAAGACTGCAAGCATTGAACTTGTTTATCTCTTGAAAAGAGGAGACTGAGAGGGGACATGATATTAATGTCCAAAATGTTTAATAGTGATGGGATCATCAGTAATAAACTGTTTACTGGTAGTTCACTCAACAAAAAAAGAGGCCACCGTCTAAAACTGGAAGAAAAAAGGTTAAATCTTAAACTGCAACAGGGATTCTTTACTGTAAGAGCTATAGAGTTGTGGAACTCCCTTCCACAGACAGTGGTTTCAGCTGAGAGTATGAGCATTCAAGACCCGTCTAGATATTTTTTTTCAACGAGCAAGACATACAGAGGTACAGGTAATCTTAAATTAAACACACACACACAGCCATATAGGTTGAACTCGATGGACCTGTCTCTTTATTTAAACGTAACTATGTAACTATAAAATTAGAATCACAGTCTGTGAAAGTGAGACCCAAGGAATGCCCTTTACTTTAATCCTCCAAGAGGCTGAAAGAACACAAACTGACCTATCTCTGCCAGAGTCAAATTTTATGTCGCAGACAGAGCACTCCTCAAAAGAGGATTGTGCAATAAATTTGCCAGCATATGCATGGTGCCCTCTTTCTTATGTCAAACATTACCAAGAAGGAACAATACCAAATAGAAGGAGCAGTGAAACACAGTAAACAAATACGCTAGTGAGTGTCACACCGTGTCACCTATGAGGTACTATGGCAACCCGGCACGGGTGGGTGTCCTGGCCCAAGACCTTAGGAATGGTAGGGCAGTCAGGCTGCAAACCAAACATCGCTGTAGGTGGTGGATAGGGACCTGTGGTAAAGGGTAGCAGTGCTGTGTCCCCAGTCGATTAGTGGTGATGCAGGTAAGAGCCAACTGAAGCTGCTACTCATGGTCCGCACAAAAAGGAAAGAAAAACCAAGCATCTACATGAAGCTCCACCTTTGTGATACAATTCTTGTCAAAATCCCCCCAAAAAAGGAAATCTACCAATTATCATCCTCTTGTTCCTCTATCCTTTCTCTCGCCTCTATGCCTCGTCTTGTGTTTCTGACCTTTGGTCTTCTCTTCTTTTTCTGTCTTTTCTCTCCTCTCGCCCTTTCTTTTTGGAAACCTTAGATACCTTCTGCATTGAAGAAGGACCGGTAGGATGAATGTTTTGACTTTGGCAGCCCTCGCTCTCTGGTCCTTACAGTACTTTCATTTTACCTGATCTCGCCAAGTATATAATGCATGCAAAATGAACTGCAAGTCCTTGTTTGTTTAATGTTATACTATTCTGTTTATCTTTCACATTTAATGTATTTGTTTTTTTCTACTGTTGTAAAAAAACGGACGGACGGCAGTGGAGCATTGGCGGGTTGCCGTCTCCAGACTGCTCCATAGCCCGCCGATCGTCTATATGTGTTCATTCGCGTCCGCGATATCATGTCTTTCCTTAATATAGTAAAAAAATAAAAACCCCAGTGGTGAATAAATACCACCAAAAGAAAGCTCTTTCTGTCCCCAAAAAAGGGTATAAAATTCATTTCAGTACAGCGTTGCATGACGGAATAAATGTCAAAGTACCGCAGCGCTGAATACTGAAAAATGGCCTGGATGGGAAGGGGGTTTAACACCGCGGATGTCAACTGGTTAATAAACTTTTTATAGAAGAAAAGGAAATCTACCAGGTATATGGTGGCCAGGTAGCCAATTGAGCCAGCCAGTGACACTAAGCACTACAAACAATCCAATGGAGAATAAACAGGAGGGGTTCCTGACACAGATCACGCATTGCTCGAAGCATTCTCACACCAACATAGTGAATTTTCAGAGACAGGGTCACTAAATGTCAAATTCCTGAGCCTGGTGTCAGCTCTGCAAAGTGAAACCGCAGACATGACCTCTACAGCAGGGCGCTTTGCTAGTGACAGCACAATCAGGCATGCCAATGCAAGATTGTTAAAGTGAAACCACCAATGTTTGAAGAAACCAGAAAAACCAGAGAAACCAACAAATGGCCTGAATCTACGAGCAACTGTTAACTGCAGAAAAAATGCAAATGTTCACAGAAGTCTTGAAAGAACAGAAGAGCTGAAAGAAAGATGTTCATCCTCCTTGAGGACACTAAGCAAAACTGTACATGCCGGTTATGGGGAAAGTAATGGCCCCCTATGGCTGGTCTTCATTTTATTTGTGCCTACTGTCCTCCTTGAGCTGACAGTATAACACATGGTTCATGATCATGAAGTGCTGTGTTCCTCAAAGGACAATAAAAAAATACAATAAAGAATAGAATAAAGTTTGCTATTAATATTCATGAAATTATTATTATTATTATAATACAGGATTTATATAGAGCCAACAGTTTAGTTTGCACAGTGCTTTACAATATAAATCAACTTACAATACAAATCAAGACAAAATGGTAAGGAGGGCCCTACCCGTGAGAGTTTACAATCTAAAAAGGATCAATTACAAATATCCAATATGTCAGTAGGCTGAGGAAACTACAGATACACTGACAAAATAGACTTCCAGCACTAATTTGACACTAACAAATGTCCTTGTATTATAGAGAGGTCAGTATTAAAAGGCAGTGGCATGCTATCGTAACAAGCAACAGTTAAGAAAAGCAAGATGTGTAAACATAACAGTCACAATAAGACCAGAATCCTTTAATGGAGCTAAACAGATGTGTCTCCTCTGGTGTAAACTGAAATTACAGTTTACTAGCAGTAATTATTTTTAAAGTGCACCCCCTTTATCAGACACTGGAATGGTCTATTGCACATCAAAGCAAACTCTTTTTATCTTTTGGTTAAATTGCCTCTGCAACCTGTCCTTCTGTACCAGTTATAGAGACAAAAGCATTATATCTGTCTGAACAGTATTTAAACCTAGGTTTTATTTACTGACGAGCTGAAAATTAAATCCGACAGTGCCATTGTCCTGATGAAAACTTTGCTGGACAGAAGCCTGGGAACCAAGTCCAGTTACAGAAAGCATCTCTAGCATGTCTTTTAGCAAAAGATTTCTAAAACTATATAATCCTTTACTGTCCTCACTACTTGAAATGGGCCTGATTTATCAAACACTTTTGGAATAATGGCATGCAGAAGTGGTCCACATTAGCATGCATTAAAGCAAAGTGACAGGTTTTCTTGATAAGACTCACCCTTGCAGCGCTCTCCCACACCTCATTTTGGCCCCTGAAGCCCTTTGGCACTACCCAGTACTTCTGACATGTGACCTTCTCTTATGCCTCCTATAATGCAATGTTCATTGCTCTCACCAGTGCATTTCTTTGTAAGTCTGATTCCTCTTGTGTAAAGCATCCCCATTGACCACGTCCCGATTACTGTTTGTCAGGACACCTCCAAAATCATAAGGACCTGCAACGATTAAGCAACAAGGCAGCTTCAGCTAAAAATCTCCCCAACTGCAGCATGCAGTCTACTGACCAGCCAATCAGTTTGCAATGTTGACACTGCACTGTTGCCTCTCTGTTGTCTTGTACCAGTCTTGCCACTCTCTGTTCTGCCCTAACATTGACTAGTCGCTGACGGCCACAATTCGCACGTTCAGACCCAGATAAAGACAGTCCAGTCTTTAAACACTTTAACAACAGCTGCTCTTGAACATTCAACAAATTCTGCTGTTTTGCTGATACTCGCTCCATGGCTCCGAGCGTCAACAATCATCCCACGTTCAAAGGCTGTTAAATCGTATAGTAATTCTTATACCACCTCTGCTTCTTACTCAGAGATGCATATTATTTAAAATATAATTATAATCCCCATTGCCATTCTATATATTTTTAAACATATAGGGGGGTGAATCAATGCATTATTTGATTAGATATTTGAATGTTGTTACCAAGATCCAATATTTGTAACGGAGTTCATTTTAAATAGTTTATCGCCAATGTTGCTATCACCATTGAACATTTTGTACATGGAGATCATATCCCCCCTTAATCTCCTCACCTCCAATGTGAACATGTTTAAATTTAGTAGCCTCGTCTCGTAGCTCTGGTCCTCCATACCCCTAATTAGTTTGGTTGCCCTCCGCTGGACTTTTTCCAACTCAAGGACATTTAGAAACAATAATCCCATGTGTGTGACTTTCAGGCTCCTCCATTGTATGGGACACCCCAGGAGATTATAGTGGTAGAATATACCCATCTATATCTATAAGAGTCTCATCCATCTGTACATCTGTAGATTATAACGATTTTTTCCAGCTAGTTACAAATTTAGGGATCCTTCCTAAATGAAATGCGGCTCTGTGCTGTCAGCATATAGCGTGCGGTAGTAAATGTACTTCTGTGACCCAAAAGAGAACTAAGGCCCAAAAACAGCTTTGGCTTTTGTTCTCTTTTAATGGTAATTTGTAGCTTAGTTTAAACTCTGCTCAAACTAGGAACCCTGGAGCAACATTCATCCAAGAATGCCAAGTATTTCAGCTGTTCCATTATTTGTTTTTAACCATCCCAGCAAGATTGGTAACATCACCTCAAAGCTGAAATAGAGACCACCACAAATTAAAGCAGCTATGTATTTTTTTAGCAAATTATAAAATATTTTTTTCTAAATGCAGCCAGTGTAAATTTGACTTTAAATCAAACCCACAGCCATTTAGTGTCACCCCCTCTGAAAAGTCAGGCACTCAGTCATGGACCGAGTGCCCGACAGCTGTACAAGAGAGGAGGGGACCCAGCGGAATAAGGTATGTCCCCCTCCTCTCTCTCCCGGGTCCATCACCGAGATGGCCGCTGTCAGTCAACTGCGCGTGATGTCATATCATGCACGCGCGTAATGACGTAACATGCGTGCGTCCCCTCCTCTCTCTGCAGGCATCCATCACTGTGATGGCCGCCGGCAGTTAACTGCGTTTGACGTCATTATACGTGGGCATGCGTGATGACATCACGCATGCATGTAATGACGTCACATGTGTGCGTGGTGGAATCCAGGCAGCAGCTCCGAGTGACACCGTGCCTGGGGATGCCTCTGATCAGGTATGCTGCATTTCAATGTGCTGATAAGGAAAAGGCTGATATGATAGGAGACCAGAACAAGCAAATAGATAACCTGATCAGTCTGATGCTGCTGTTTCTCTGTCCATTCAAACAGCTGACACCACTGTATTCCTTAACTATAACAGGGAGAGTGATGCCAACCAACTGACTGGACTGTGTGATGAGGTTATGTAAATCTTAGGACTTCATGGACAGAAATACAATTTATTTAGGAGGTAAAACAGCTCCCTTGCATGTGTTTCATCTGTGTATTTAACTGTCTGCCTGGACAGTTAAATACACAGTCTTTTTGCTGCACCTAGAGGAGCTTAATTCCTTTAGCATTTTGTTTAGTGTAAAACAAATGAAATGTCAAAAAAGCCACAGCAGGTGAGAGAACCTGGTTTCTTCAGCAGGAAGACCTACCAACCAGAGTCCTTAAGAGACAAAAGAAGCTGGTGAGCGACTGAATTCACCAGCAATTATTATGGGTATATCAAACAATTTATATTTTGAATGAATGCTACAACACGGATATAATTAATACATAATATAAGAGAGTTGGCATGCATGTCATGCTACAATTTGTCCACCATGCTAATGTTAAGGCATGCATACAGGAGCATGGCAATGGATAGCATGCTTCAGATAAAGGAATGCATGTTAAACCCAGCCAATGAGCAGTGATTTGTGGATGCAGAACTTTATACTGGCTCTAGACATTACAGTTTCTTCATAACAACGTTCAACTTAGGTGTATGTACAACTCCACAGCCATGCACTATGGGGATATTTTATAAGAATTCAGCAAATAATAGGTCATACAGTTTTACATAATAACCAATAAGGTATTGGCTTTCATTCTTAATCTGCACTATCCTGCATAATCCTAATCTGCATACTTATTCCATGTCACCGACATACCAAATTGGATCAGCGTGACAGGCAGGGTTGGACCTAGTATTTTCAAAATGAGGAGATCAGCAACAGCAGCCTCCATGCTGTCTCTCTAAAAGATTCCATTAATGGCTGTAGGAGGGGGATGAAGTCAGGAACTAAAATGCAGACATTTAGCCACATAAGTCACTGAGAATACCCTATGGTCCTAAATTCCATCTAGTGGCCATAATGCGCTGCGATTCTCGATTGCATAGTTGTTCATTTTGCTAATGGGTTATAAATCAACCCCTAAGTAAGGGAAATCTTTCTAACGGAGCCCCAGATGGCAACAAAAAACAGGTAAGGATAATAATCCTTTCCCACTCTACATGCAACTAAACAAAACAAAATAAGTTTTGGCTGGACATACAAATTAAAGCGTTCACAGGGTTAAAGTAAACTGGTGCTGTGCTATAAACTGTTGGTATGGCTTAGCCATAAACTCAGAACCCAGTAATAAACTGAAACTAAATTAGAAAGGGTCACAAAAGAGGCTTCTCTGGCTGATGGTATTAGCAGGCTGAGGTATTCTTTAGCAGAGCCTTTACTTTTAAAAGTTTAGAACAGAGTACAGTTTCACTTTAAATTGAGCTTGTGGGTAGGCTATGGACTAAATATTTACTTTTTCTTAACAAGCAATACATAAGCTTTAAACAATCACCTTCGTAGCTGCGTGCACTGTGGAGCAAAATTCAAAATAAAAAGAGTGATGTCCAAGTCATAACTCTCAGCAGCTATATTGCACCACCCTCCTCTTGCAGTGCATCTACACTTTGTTTACATTGGATATTAGAAGGCTGGCAAGTTAAGTCACTACAGGGGCATAGCAGAATGAGTTAGGTTGATAAAAGTGAAAGCGCTTCTGCTGTGATCTTTGAGGATGAATATTTGTTTACATCAAGGTATCTATACAACCTATATCCTCAAATATTAAAGTACTAAAAAGACTTGGTAAACAGGATACTTATCTATAATCATATGATTTAAATCTCCTTGCTCCTGCCACACACACACACACATGCTTCAATGCAGATTTATAGGATACAAAACTGCATGCTGAATTTCTCTTTCAAAATGCATCCTAATTCCACTGATACAATGCCGACTGTCCAATATTCCTAGCTCTTGTCTCCGATATAATCCACTGTAATTTTTTTTATTTCTTAATAAAAATTGGCTAGATCTCTTCAAATAATGGCTACTACAGAGGCTTTTTGTCCATGTTTCTTACCCTTCCTTGTCCAGTTCCTGGCAGCATGGCTTGAGTAGTGTTTCTGGCACTGTTGTTCCTCGTTGGCCCCCTCTTATGCTGAAACCATCATTCTGCACTACTGGCAAAACTGGCTAATTCCTGTCTCAGAGTGATGATGCAAACACCTGCTCACTATTCAACCATCAGTCTCCACCCTTGCATTTGTTCTGATCAACCAAGTGCGCTGCTGATCAACCAAGTGCGCTGCTGTTGTTCCTGATTTCTGTGTATGACCCTGGCTCTCACTGACTGATCTCCTGGTTCTTGACTTCGGCTTTGCTTCCGTTCTTCCTGCTCTCAGTGTTCCCTGACCTGGTTTGGCTGATTACCTGCTGTGGCTTCTGACCTCTGGCTTTGGCTCTGACAACGTCCTGGACTTTCTCCATTGTTTTTGCATTTATTTTTATTATTGTTTTTAATTAACTTTTATATTTTAAACCTGCACTTTAAGTTTCTGTCTGGTTTCTTGGTTCCCTGGCAGTATGCAAGGGCCATGAGTCCTGACAGTGCAGGTATTCCTACGCTACCCAGGTTGGTCTCTAGGCTGGATCAACAAGATCACTGTATGGATCAGTTCACTCTGACACTTTAGAACCTCCTAGCATGCACTGCCCATCTTGAGCCAGGTGTTTCTCGGCCAGTGGTTTCTCATGTCACTGCTTCCAGCAGTCGCTAAGGGTATGACCAGTTCAGCCCCCCTCCTTCAGCGCTATGGGAGTGAACCAAATCAATGTTGTGGCTTCCTTAACTCAGTGGGCATTTATATTGAAATACTTCCTGATATCGTTGCTCTCGGATAAGGCCTTGGCCTGGGCGAATCCCTTATGGGAGAACAATAAACCTGTCATATACGACTACCCTGAATTTGATGCCTTCTTTCGTAGGGTATTCAAAGTACCAGCTTGTTCTGCCTCTGCTGCCAAGCAGCTCATGTCTATCCTACAGGGTACACGAACCGTTGCAGAGTATGCTTTTGAAGTTCGTACCCTGGTGGCAGAGGTGAGCTGGAATAATGAGGCTCTGGTGGCTGCCTTCTCACATGGCCTCTCCGATACCTTGAAGGATGAGACTGTGGCCAAAGGCCTGCCTAGTGAGCTCGAGGCTCTCATTTCTTTCCTGATTCCGATTGATAACAGGCTCAGGGAGAGACCATCTTTTAGGGAGTACCTGTGGAGGCCTCC